AGCCAGCCCTGCGCCCGACGCCTGGGCTACCGGGCCGCGGTCCGCGTCGCGGGGCGCCGTCGTGCGGTGGGTGAAGCATGTCGGACATCTGAATTCCCAACCATGCGCTCCAGAGTGTCGGGGAAACGAGGAGGAGGAGGAGGAGGAGGGAGGAGGAGGAGGAGGAGGAGGAGGAGGAGGAGGAGGAGGTTTGGGGTAATTTTAAACACTTTTCGTCGAAAATCCCCCTGTAGGGGGACACGCCCGACTCAATCCCAGGTTCGACCACTTTGGGGAGTATTTTTCGGGGTATTCTTTTGGGGACTACTTTTTGGAGTAGTACTCTGGGGACTATGTTTGGAGCAATTTTTTGATTATTTTGGAGCATCTTTGGGGTAATTCTTTTCATTTCTCGTCGGAAATCCCCCTTGCAGGGGGACACGCCCGGCTCGTGGACCTTCTGACCCGGGTCAATCCAGACCCAGGTCAGCAGGAAACCAAAAACTGCAATGCAGGAACAGAGAACTGCAACGCAGGTCTTCGCAAACCCGGGCCAGCCAATAGGCGCGGCCGCCTCGCGGCCACGAGCGGCTCGCTGACCCGGGTCAGCCAGAGGGGGTCTTCGCAGGATCAATTTTTTGACCATTTTGACAATTTTGGAGCATCTTTGGAACAATGTTTGATCATTTTTGGAGCAATTTTTGACCATCTTTGGAGCAACTGTTTGACCATTTTTGGCTATTTTTGGAGCAATTGTTTGACCATTTTGGAGCATCTTTGGGGTAGTTCTTTTTCTCGTCGAGAATATCCCCCTGTAGGGGGACACGCCCGACTTCATCCCAGGCTCGACCGGTGGATCGGCGCTCCTGGCGCGCTCTCTTGGGGGGGGGGGCCCTCGCCCGCGCTTCGCGGGCGCGCTCCTCGGCCACCGGGGGGAGGTTCGGAGCTCCCCCCGCGGGGCCGCCCTCGAAAGCGCGCGCGGGCGCGACGGCCACGCGCGACGCGCTCGAGGGACCTGTGTGCAGGACCTGCACTCGATCTTCCCTTTCGATCCTCGGTGCTCGATGCTTTTCGATCCTCGATCCTCGATCCTCGACCCTCGATCCTCGATCCTCGATCCCCGTGGTCAGCTGGGATGACTTCTACGAGACAATGCACCGTCGGGACGTTGACCCAAAGGAGCCCAACATAATGCGGGATGACGATTAGTAGAAAAATAGGAGAGAACGATTAAACAACTAGTTTTCTGCTATTTCTGCACGCTTTTCTGACTGGAGGAGAACGATAAAACATGTTTTCCAGCCCGCGGCCGGTTTTTTCTAATCGTCATCCCGGGCGCCGCCGCGTGAACACGACCCCCGTTCATTTATTAATCGTCATCCTCCATTAAGGAACGAGGCCCCTTTCTTTCCCATCAGTGAAGGTTCGACTTCCCAGCGAAAACCAAAGGAAAACCAGAGGCACGCTGCGAAACACCCAAGGAACACGGAGCCCCTCCCCAACGAGAAGGGTTCCTTCCTCAGCGCCCCGACTGTACCTCCAGCCTGTGGCCGAGGCCTCTCCGCGGTGCGCGTCGGAGCTTGGGCTACGCAGCGCGCGTCGGAGGACGCGTGCAAGCGAGGGGCGTGGCCAAGCTGTCCATCGCCAGGAACGCCGCGCTCGACGCCGCCGCCGCCCGCCCTTGCCCAGGAGGGCTGGCGGGCGCCACGCCACCCACGCAGGAACCAGCTGCTCAGGCTCTGGAGCGGCATGGCTTCTGTCTTCGTGATGTGGGGCCTCCGCCTCCGGCCCATGAGATGGATCACTACGAGGACGAGGAGGAGAGCGAGTACGGGGATGAGAACGAGGGCGTGTTCAAGGGTTTCGGCGGCACCACGGCGGTCGTGACGGAGAAGCGGGAGTACGCGGATGGCGATGGCGGAGATCTACGCGCTGCTGGAGGCGATCTTTGTGTGGGCGGGGACCTTCGACACGCTGGAGACGCTGGAGGTGACGTGGCTCTTGGACGCGATCTGGTCCAACACGGAGGCGTGCTGGTTCACCACGGGGGCGTTTTAGATCAACCAGGGGGCGGGCCGGACCAACCCAGAGGTGACTTGGATCATTCTTCGGTCCAGGAGACTGCCAGGAATGCCGAGGAGAGGGATGGCCACGACAAGATCCTCTCCCTCATCCACTCTGGCTCTGTCCTTTCAGAACTGGCCAACATACTGATGGGCACTGGCACCACGGGCGTTGAACTGGGTGCTGTCCTCACCACTCCGAGGCCCAGAGCTAGGCAGTTTAACGTGACAAGGTTGAGGGACCAGTTCTTTGAAACAGCCTCCAGGTTCCAGTATGTTTCTGTCCCAGCCACGGCGTACGTTTTCGACACTGTCATCTCGGAGATGGCCGAGGATACGCGTGAGACTACTTTGGAGAAGCTGGCCGAGTGTTGCACGAGCGAGTCCGCATTCGATGCCTTGTACAACGTTGTGCTTTCCCTCTCGTGCACGTGACTGCTTCCCTCGCACGTGCAGGA